AACACTATAGACTAAAACAGTCACCTGGGTAGCTTCAGTGAAGAAAATAATTCAGGGATTTGATGCTTCACGCTCAAAGGGTCAGACTCGAGATACTCACTCTTTACTTTCTACTTCTACTACTTCTCTTTTTGTATCTCTTACTGCAGGCGGGACGGTATTTGGTATATTAACAACAAATATATTCACTTCATGCACGGTCGGGATATCTCAAGTTATATCTACAAATGAGAGAAATCCCTATCTGAATCTAGCTACCCTAGCGATAGAGCGGAGAAGGAGGACAATCGGTTAACTCGAGATCGAACGGAATCAAAAGCGGTTAAAAAGCAACGGTTAAAGCGGAAGCAGAATGCGGTCAAGCTAGCAAGCGGTAATGGTGCGATGCGATAAGCCCAAAGCGATGAACGGTTTTCAGCAATATGGTTATGTTTGGGTGAAGAATATGACCAGGCGTTTAGTTAACCCGCGTCTACTTCAAGCTCTGCTTGTCACGTTCTCGCATGGATTTCAATCTGCACCCCAGGGAAGTAAGCACACTGCAGACAAAGATGTGCCTCCCTGACTTGCTTCAGAAACCCCAAAGCAATTATAAAACTCCTAAAGTCAAGCCGCGTACTAACGCTAATGGACCTTTAATAAACTAAATTAATAGCTCCCTCACGAATGTGCTTACCAAACCTTAAAAAAATAATATCGGAGACGCAACATTTTGTGACACAATGACACAACCTATAAAACACTTCTGATATCTGGAATTTTGCTGGGATATAATGATCACAATTAGATATTGGTACGTATCTTTCTATAGTTCTGGGACCTTCAGGGACATATATATATAATTTGCAAGGCCAACCAAAAAGAAAAGCACCTTTTGTTTCGGCTTTCAGTTTCCTGAAATAGAACTTCACTGCGTGTTTGACATTAGGGTTAAGCCATTACATATTCCAGACAGTCGCCAGGTGTACCGAGGTTCCACTAGTCACTTCCAAGAACTCGGTGTCTAACTTATATGGGAGTCGGGGATACCTAGCTCTATCGGGAATATCCTGATCTCATCGGCTTTCACAATTACAACCGAGTAAGGCCTGCCTCACTAGTCACTTCCGAAAACTCGGTGTCGAACTTGCGATTGAGGGGGTCGTAGAGAAATTGAGAATGCTTCCTGGTAGATGCGGTCGAGTATGTCGAATCACCAGTCGGATGTATAAGTATGTACAAGTAATCTTCAGTAAAAGCGCTTTTGTAAGATGGAGGTCTAAGAGTAGCGCAATTAACCAACACTGACGCGTCTACCTATTTGACATAAGTGAAATCTCAAAGAGTTCAAAGTAAGAGCCATAGACCAAACGGGACGGTACGGTTCGGCATTCTGTCAGTATTCGGTTAGATTTGTTTCACCGATCAGCTCTTATTTGCCACCAGAGCAGTCCACTAGGACTAACATAGGCTTAGACCAAGTTAAAACGCAGATATCAAGATTTAATAAGAAATATCTCATTTAAGCCGTCCAAGTTTTGAATTCCTATCCTTCAACTTGAATTTAAAACAATTCACTAAGGCTTAAATATAGATTTCGCTAAGGCTGATAAACCCATTCATAAACCTTTTGTTCTAAAATATTCTCAAAGTCTAACTCACAGTTATTTCTTTTTCCTTCAGCAAACTAGTTCGTTCAATATTCAAAAATAAACAGAAAACAAACAACTCTCTTCTCAAAATTCGTAAGCCAAAGATATACACTGAAAACGGTACGCTACAATTTCTACGACTAAAGAACGAGTTAATCAGAGGAAAATAAAATCACTTGGATTCTGCATTTGGCTCTATACGGTAAGCAAAATTTCAAAAAAAGAATAAATCCAGAACCTCAAAAATACTTCACTTACGGTTATCAGAATTACAACTATATCACTAAAACGGAACGCACTGGTTTTTAACTCACCCCCTTTCCTCTTGGTACAAGCGGGTACTTCGGTACTACGGTTGGATGCCAGGAGAGAAGAACGGAAAAGACAGAGGCACGGCGTGCATACGCCCGCGCTTTTATCTTGCTCGCCAATGTTATAGAACCGACCTTGGTCGCAACGTCATAGCATCCGCCACTGCGAATCTTCTTGACGTCGTGTCGCCGACCTGGTGCATTTGATTGAATCAAAAGTATTTCTATTCGATTCCTTATGGTGTATCCTATAAAATGAGTGCCCACACCCCTAGGGCATCTAATTCCAAAGGGCTAGATCAGACCCTGCAGGGTTTCAAGTCCCAAAAGGGCGTATAGCCAGTTCTAGCACCTCCTCGACGACCGGTAGTGCATCAGCTCCGTGCAGGTTGCAATTGCCGCACGCTGACCACTCTAAAATGCATTTAAATCTGGACTACAACCAAAAGGGATCTTAGTGCATTTTTCCCACTGTTAGGGACCTTACAGGGCCCACAACACCAAGAAGTTGTGTGACAAGTGCCCCAAGGCATCTGAATGTGGAACAAAGACTTCTCATTCGTTATAAGGGAACTACATGCCTATTTCAGCCAGTGCCTTGATACGCCACTTTGGCGTGTTGTTTTTCCCCTGCAAATCCCTGAGTCTATTAGTCCTGACCCATAACGCATCCCTGACGTCCTGAATATCATCTAGTGCTGCCACAAGGCTTAAAAATTGTTTTAAATCCTCTCACTCATTATAATAAATTCTAATACGGAAAATGAAAAATATAATTTTCCGTCTATTTCTGTGTGTAACACATGGCAACAAAAACGACTGTGGTATGTCATAAAAACATCAGGCTTGCTTGAGGATTCGAGACTCTGTATAGGAGACAAAATAATATACTAAATGGCATATAAATCCGAACACCCAGTTTAAAAGATTTTATTTTAATAAAAGTTGGTGAATGTATTTATCTTACTGTAAATAACAAGTGAAAAAATTTTCAGCCTTATCAGTTGGACATTCCGGATTTTATACTGCTTTTTTTTAATTCACTAACGCTCTAAAAATGAATATTTCAGCCGCAGTAAAGAATTAACGTTGGCAGATTTTGGTTCTTGGCATCCTTTACGATCGGTTACGATGCCTAAAGTACGGAGACCTGTACGATTTCGTCAACTTCGTGAGTTTGATAGGGGCCGTATAGTGGGACTTCGGGAAGCTGGACTTTCTTTTCGGGCAATTGCAGTTAGAGTGCAAAGAAGTGTAGACACTGTGATTAGGTGTTGTCAGGCATGGCTTCGAGAAGGTCGTACGCAAAGAGCAAGGGACACTGGACGCCGCCGTAGAACAACAGACCGTGAAGATCGCCGCCTAAGATTATTGGCCTTAAGGGACCGTTACTCCACTACCAGGTCCATTGCAAATGAATGGTTTGCAGAACACGGAAGACCTATTGGCAAGTGTTTACCGACGAATGAGAAGGTTTGGCTTGTTTTCCGGCCACACTGGATCCTCCCTTTAACTCGAGAACACCGACGTAATCGCCTTGAGTGGTGCAGACAACGGTCACTCTGGGATCAGGAATGGAACAGTATTGTCTTTAGTGATGAGTCTCGATTTTGTTTAGGCATGCACGATGGTCGTGCCAGGGTTAGAAGGCGACGTGGTGAAAGGAGGAATCCACAGTTTTTTGTTGAAAGACATGTTCATCACACTGTTGGAGTTATGGTTTGGGGTGCTATAGCTTATGGTTCCAGGTCACCTTTAATCTTCATCAGAGGTAACATGAACGCGCAGCGTTATAACCACGAAGTTCTAGAACCCCATCTTTTACCCTATCTTGACACCCTGACAGATCCAACTTTCCAACAAGATAATGCCCGACCACATGTTGCAAGAGTTACAATAGACTTCTTTCAACATAATGATGTCACATTGTTACCATGGACACCAAGATCTCCCGACTTATCCCCAATTGAGCACGTGTGGGATATGATGGGTAGGAGATTGCTCAATTTGCAACGTCTTCCTCAGACTCTAGAAGCACTTCGAGAGGAGTTGGTGGTTACCTGGAATGAGATACCACAGGAGGACATTGACCACCTGATCAGAAGCATGCCTAGGCGCGTTGGAGAATGCGTAGCACATCAGGGTGCATCCACACATTATTAAAGGTCAAACGGCTTTAAAGCAGTGCAATCATTTTGAAATTTTTATCATTTACTTATTATGCTTCATTAAGTACTTATACAAAATTTTATTAAAATGAAACCATTTAAACTGGGTGTTCGGATTTATATGTCACTTAGTATATATAGAACAGGGCACTATCCCAATTTTAGAATATCGGAACTGTAATTAATGATTAATCTAAAATTTAGCGTCTTCGAGAAAACGTGAACACGATTGGAGGTCAGAAAGTACGCAATTCACGGCACCGGAAAAAAAACTTCATTACATTGTATAATGCAACGAAGTCTGCTTTTTTAAAATTATATACTTCAGAAAGCTTATTGGTGCCAAATAATGGTTCCTAATGATTGATGATTTCAGACACTTAGGAGGCGCAGTGCAATACGACTGCGCGTGTCCATACCTCTGGCAGCGATGACACTGCCCAAATAAGTCGAGTGTTCTTTTAAACCTCGATCCTGATTGCCAGACTCAGCAGCTCGTGTTCATTAAAAATCTGCTGCTACTTGTCAATCTTAGGCAGTATCACCACCATCAGAGGCACAGGAACGCCGCCGTACGCTTCAGGCGAATTATGTGGTGAGGGGAGCAGCCCTTCTGCTCCAACTCTTCCTTGACCTCTTGTTCATTAAACGATGCAGGGATACCTCTAATTATGGCGTGTATATTCCTTTCAGATGGAAGCGAAAATGTGTGTCCTCTTTGAAAAGACGAATTATCTTCCTATAGTCTCCTTCTGTTTTAGGTATAATACGAATCCCCACGTCAAGGGCAACCGCTCGCTCTACTTTAATGCCCAGACAAATTTGTAGCTTAGCATCCGTCACCTCGCAGCGTCCCGCAGGGCAATCGGTGCGACTTGTGCAGGACGCGGCTACCCCGATGTCTCACTGGCAGCAGTACGGGGTGATGACGGCAAAGCAATAGCAACGTTAGCTTGAGAGCTTGGTTGAATAGTGGAAGAAGACATAGGAGAGTTTTTGGTAGTCGGCTTGATAGTTGCCTCAGTTGGCAGTAGAGGGAATTGGTCAGTTACGTTTCGTTTCTTTTTCTGTATAACTGGAGTGAGTCCTTCTTCGTTGGTACATTCATCGTTAGTTGAGGTAAGATTTGTAGCTGTCAGACCGTCGTTAATCTGTTTATTGGAAGTTGTGTTGTCGTTTGTAGAAAGTAAATCAAATTTTTGGGAAACTAAGAGAGATGCCTGGGGTCGCTTGGTCCTACAAGCCGCTGAATTTGGGTTTCGTTCTCTGCGGTTTCAACACCCCTCAGTTCTGTCACAGGACCTAACAATTTTTCCTTTTTTCCATCATTTTCATTGATTTTGGAATCAGTTCTGTTTGGGGCAGTAGCTGGATCTCCTGCGGACCCGTCCGACTTTATATCAAAATCTCTCTAGCGCAAAAAAATTGAGTTTGACTAAAGTTCCTTATTATACCTGCAGGATTATTACGTACATTATGTCGTTTTTTGACATGTCGTTTTTTTGTGACATGTACATTTTTACTACAAGATCTCAAATTAGAACTAGCTGTTGCTTAATTGATCTGCACACTTATGTAGCTGTATGAGTTGCCCTTAATGTCATGACGCGTCAGTTGTCAATGTCTGGCTCTAATGTGATCACACTATGCACTATTCGTCATTGTCTGTCAGAGCGGTCCGTAGGACCTTTGCTCTTGGTTGAAGTCTTGTAAGTCAGTAGGTCTGTCAGGTCTGGTTGCCCAGATACCAAACAAAGTCAGGGAGAAAGAAGGGAAGAAGAAAGGAAGGAAGGAAGGAGGGAGAGCAAAGAAAAAAGAAGTGCATCAATTTGAGGGGTGCCTTGGCATTCCTAGTTAGTATTCGGCAATTTTAAATTGATCCTAAACTTAATTTTGGGATTGGTTGTTGAAGAAAAATTATATTTTTGGTTGGATCTAAAGTCGCACGATTTAGTTTTGTTCACAGTGCGAGTCGCGGCCTTGTGTGCTTGCGAACTTGCGAACTTGCTCGACTGTGTAGTCTACTGACTCGCGCAACAAAGGGTTGTTATGCGATTCTGCTTGACTGTAACGTAGCTGCGCTTGTTGTTTGATGTAGTCCCTTAGGTAAGGGATGTCAAGGTCTCTGTGAAGGGTCTCGTTTGAAACATACCATGGGGCGTTAGTGATTGTTCGCAAGGTTCTGTTCTGCAAAACCTGCAGGCTACGCAAATGCGTTTTGGCGAGAAAACACCAAGTCGCACTTGCGTAAGTGATCGCTGGTCTAATAACCATCTTGTATAGTCGAACTTTGTTGATCAAACTTAATTTTGATGTTCTACATAGCATAGGGTAGAGTTGCCGAAACGAGGTTTGGAATTAAGTTTTTAACGTGTGTGCAGGTTATCCCCTTGTCAAGAGTGACACCGAGATACTTAGCAGAGCTTTCCCATGGTACCCGACCTCCATTCACTGAAACCTCAGACGGAGCGCCGCTACGTTTTTTAGTAGATTGTAGATTAGTAGATTGCCTGCGTTTTCGAATGATTAATTTTGATCAGCCACCGATTCGCCCATTCCAATACCTTGTCCACTGCACTTTGCAGCCTGTCGTGAACTAGATCCCCAGAGCACGACTGGGCCACCAGGGCAGTGTCATCAGCATAGAGATAGGTTTCACAGCTGCTGGGGCAAGGGACGTCATGAATAAAAAGTGAATAAAGGACTGGTCCAAGAACCGAACCCTGAGGGACACCGGCTTTAATGGGCCGCGTTGTCGACAGAACGTTATTAATTTTGATCCGAAATTTCCAACCCTCGAGAAAGGATTTCAAAAGTTTTAGGAGCCAGAAGGGGAAGCCCTTATGGATCAATTTGTAGAGAAGGCCCTTGTGCCACACCTTGTCAAATGAATTTGAGACATCCAGTAGCAAGACGCCAGTACTTTCGTTACGGGTGAACCCGCTGGTTACTCGTTCAACAAGCCTTATGGCCTGTAGCTCCGTACTATGCTCAGACCGAAAGCCAAATTGCACGTCAGGAATCACATTGTGGTCTGCCGAGAAATTTTCAAGGTGACGTAGAATCACCTTTTCAGCGAGCTTAGAAGGAGCTGACAGTAGACTAATGGGGCGGTAATCCTGAGGGAATATCGAACCCATCTTCTTTGGAATCATTATGACATCAGCGGTCTTCCACGCCGTTGGGAAGTGCTGGGTCCTTAGCATGGCATTGATTATTGCCACGAGATAAGTTAAGGACTTCCGCGAAAGTAGCTTCAGCGCCTTATTAGTGATTCGATCCTCTCCAGGTGCCTTACGTACCTTCAGGTCTTTAATATGATCTTGGAGCTCTGCTCGTGTGCAATGCGGAGTCTCAGGAGATTCCGCTGATGTGCCGTGCAGCTCTTCAATTGAGGAATCTTCTGAAGATTCCTCTGAGGAAAAATCACTAAGGGAGGCAGTACTGCCACTGACGCCGTTGGCCCTAAAATATCTCCTGACGGATCTTACAATATGTTTCTCCTCGTCGAGGTCATTATCAAGATCATAGTTGGGAGAGAACTGACTTTCCATTGCATCAGCGAAAATCTCGACCTTTTCCTCTGTCCTACAGACTATGCCCCTAGGACCGTGAATATGCGGAAGTTGTTCTCGCTTTCCGTTTCTAAGCGACTTTGCAACTTTCCAGAGAGGAATACTTGAGTCAAGCATCCCCGACAGAAAGTCGCTCCATTGCTCATTACGGAATTCATGAAGAGCATTTCTCACTTCATGAACAAGATTCGTTGCTCTGTGAATGTCATCTGGGTGACAAGACCTCTTCGCTTGCTTAATTGCAGCTCTTTTGTCAGAAATTTTCTGACGAATGTCTGCAGGGAGAAATGGTTTGCCGTGTCGTCGTACTGGTAGTACAGCTGCACGCTGCAGAGCTTGCTGAACGGAACTTGTCCACTCCGCTTGAGCAGCTTCTATATCGTTCTCATCTTCTATGATCGGGATATTGGGGAACTCTCTAAGGAGCGACTTGTATAGCTCCCAATCAACCCTTTTCCTTGGAAGAGTTTCCCCTTCCAAGGTTTGCTCATTACCCACTTCCAGTACGATAGGAAGATGATCGCTCGAAATGTCATACATGATTCGAGAAGTGACACTGAATCTACAGTTTCTAGATATCGCGAAGTCGATGACATCTGGTGCCTGAAGGTGATTAAATGGGTGGTGAGTTGGCTCCTCAGTGCTGTGTATGAGGTAGCCGTTCGTATCACATGGTTGTAAATTCGAATCCCACTGGTGGAATTTAACCTAGAGTGCCGTGCTCGATGTTTACAGTTAAAGTCCCCTGCTACAATAAGCGGACCCGAGCAGTCAAACAGGACTTCCAGATCCGTCTCTTGCAGCCTGGCACCACATCTGACATAAACCGATGTGATTTTCAGCGAGATACCTCCCGTCATATTCACTACCACCGAAGTTGCCTCGATGCTCTGCATCTCAGCGTTTGTGCTTCTGTAATAGTCAATACCACGTTTTACTAGCACTGCCAAACCGTCACCCCGTCCAGTTAATCTATCAGCGCGGATAACATCATAATTCGGAAATCTAGACGATCTCCCGGATTAAGCAATGTTTTATGCAGCAGAGCTACATCTACGTTCTCATCCAAAAGAGCTTGATGAAATTCCCGTTTTTTGGGGACATCCCTGAGACAGAAACAATTCCAGAAAAGAATTTTGATGAATTCAGGCTGTCTGCTATTGTATCTAGCCATTTAGCGGAAAGATCGCCTGCAATGCCTTAGTGGCACTTATCAGGGGACTAATAATCTGCTGTAGGGACCTGAGCGCTGTTGCTAGATCCACATTTTGAGTAGTCGTAGATGAGCTCGAAACAGCAGGGGCAGTTGAGGTGTCATCTCTTGCTGCGTCCGCGTAGGACTTTGCTCGCCTTTGTGCGATGACTTGTAGATTTCTCCTAGGAGTAAATCTACAGGTCGGACTATTTGCCGGATGGTCCCCCCCCACAGTTCGCACATCTGCGAACCTCTTGTCCTGTTTGAGGGCACATATGTGTCATGTGGTCTTGGGCACATTTTAGACTCTTTGGCGGCGCAGTGCAATACGACTGTGCGTGTCCATACTTCTGGCAGTGGTGACACTGCCCAATGAGTCGAGAGTTCTTCTGAACTTCGACTCTGATAGCGAGCCCCAGGAATTCGTGCTCGTTGAAGACTTGCTGTGACTTCTCCGTCTTAGGCAGGATCACCACCATCAAGGGCATGGGCACGCCGCCGTTGCGCTTTAGGCGAATGATGTGAAAGGGAGCGTAACCCTTCTGTTCTAGCTCACCTTTAACCTCCTGTTCGGTGGTTGATGCTGGGATACCTCTGATAACCGCATGGATGTTGCGTTCAGTGGGCAAAGGGAAGTGTGATGAGGAATGTTTTCCTCTTTGAAAAGACGGATTATCCTGCCATAATCGTCTTCGGTTTTGGGGATGATACGTATCCCAGCATCAACGGCGACTGCTAGTTCAATACGAATATCAAGACTTACAAAGGAATAGTTTAAGGTGCGCCATTTTGTCGCATCTCTCAACACGATTGGAGTAATACGCACCCGGCGAGGCGATTGGGCCTGTGTGTTTAGAGATCCGCTGGATGGCAAGGAAGATGAGTTGCAGCCAGCCAATGGATCAGACTGCACTTGGGATATAACAGGAGGAGCACTCTGTGTGGATGCTGATAAAGGTCTTTCCCTTGGCTGACTAGTAGAAGCGGTAGATGGTACAGACACAGACGGTTTTAGGTTGCCTGAATGTTTGTTATTTGGGGATTTCGTCGGTAGCGGAGGAAATTCTGTTTTGCGCAGTCTCACTTTGCGACGTCGCACGGGTGTGAAAAGATCACCCTGTGTATCCTCATCGGTCTCAGTATGTAGTTCACTCGAATGGCTGTTATGTCTACGTTTTGCTGTTTTGGAAGAATCAACATTGGGAACTGTTTTATGAATGATGCTTGTTAGCTTAAAAACCTGGGCATTTAGTGACTCTACACAGTCAGTCAATCTCTGAAACTGGGCTGCTTGGTCTGCAATTATCTTCAAAAGTCTCTGGTTCTCGTTTTCCTTCTCCAGTATAGGTGTCATCCCTGTTGTCATCATTGGCGTCATCTCGTTTTGGTTTTCTGGAATATGTTCCAAAGTAGCGCTGTACTCCGTGCCAACTCCACTCAAAGCAGTAGAGGGGTCGCCTGGGGACTCCTCGGGTTCAGCTTCCATAATATTATTGCCTTCTTTCTTGCCAAAATATAAAAATTTCTCCGGATTAAAAAAATTGGCAATTAATGGCATATGATGCACATCTGTCGTTGTCTAATGTGATGTAGCAGCTGCTTCAGAGATGGATTTATTGGAGGTCTAAGCTGTGAGCTGTATTCTATAGCTGATAGGACACGGCAGTGCATAGAGGTGCATAGCGAGGATGTGTGTGCTAACACAAACAGAAACTAGCTGTGCTTCAGTTAGGACCGTCCGTAAATTTCTCATGAAATGTGATTGGGAGTTTATTCTTGTTACAAAAAGCTGATGACCTGGTTGCTTTCCTTTGTAGCTGTGATTTCGTCTTACATATGAAATCGGCACTCTCCCGTTTTCGCGGAATGGACACAAAAATTATAAACCCTCAACTGCCTTTTATAAAATACGTGTCCAGACGGAGTATGTGGTAAAGGCACACAAGACCTCAACAGATTCTTCTATTCTTGCCTTAGTGGATTTTTCGTTCAGCCAGTTGTGAAAAGCTTCTGATTTTGGAAGATGGAGGGATTTTTCCAGTTGCAGTTTGGCCGTTGTTCCAGACTAAATAATGCTGGACGCACAACTACACATACACATTCACGCAGTTGCGAGAACAGCTCCATCTATGACATGGAGCTGACAGGTGCTTGCCCCAAGGCGTTACAAGGAAAACTCAATAATTATATGTAGTTCTATTTCACATTGTAGAGCATGGAGCTGCAGGTTTCTTACTCCAAACAACGCAAAAATTATTTTCTGAAGAAAGTGGAGCTGACCGGTTTTTGCACCAACTCCTTCAATTAACGAGCTTTTTTGCGACTATTGTTTTTATTATAAGAAAGCCTATAGATTCATTTATCGTGAAAAATACGAGTATACTTTGAAGTTGAGTCATTAATTTTCAGATAATTGTAGAAGGAAGATAAACCAAAATATGTGTGTAAAAATAAAAAAAAAATTAAAAAAAAATGTTACCTTGTATTATAAAGTATCCTCCCGACAAGTATTTCAGTGCGAACCTGTATTTGATCGTGCGGTCTTGGAGCACCGGCATACCCTCCCCTGTGAGGTCTTAAGTCACCTGATTCACGAGCCCTTTGTACTACATTCAGCATTTTCGTAAACATGTGCCATTTTTTATTTCGTTTGAGCCACGCAACAAACACTACTATTAACTCACGCGTTACCGACTGACACATCGACTGAATACAACTGAATAAAATTGTACATTGTAGTAAAAACATCGTTTCAAATTCTTTCGCTTTCGATGCGACGAAGAGATAAGGCGGATTATATCCGTTGTTGCCAAACACGTGCACATAATATTATTATTGAGACAGGGCGGTACTCAAACTTCTAAAGGGCTATAATTTTGTTACTTTAATTTTACCAGAAAAATGTTAAAGGAAAAAACATTTCTTTTGATCGGATCTACTCACTGTTAAAATAAATGACTCAACTTCGAAGTCACCTTGTATATTCCGCCAATCCCCAATGTATTGAGCACAGGAAGAAGAGTGCACTTTTGACGTTCCATAAGGATTATTTCGTTTTATGAAATAGGTATGTCAAACAATCTCGAATGCCGAAAAACTATTTCAGAGTAATACACTCTGTAACAATTTACGCAGCCCTGCAGTGTCATCTGCATATAATCTACCTTCAGAGGAACAGTGCTCAATGTTATTTAAATATAGACTGAATTAATGCAGAAATATCGCCGTCATTAACATTATTATTTGTACCTACTAAATTTTCATTTCCAAGTTTTCGTTTTACACTCACGATATACCTGCCTGTGTTCTTGTACACAGTATAATAAAAATTGTTCTTGTTCCTTATCAGCGGTGATTAAGTCATGGAAGTCTTGCATTAACTTGTCTCCTCTTTCTGCCGTATCGTTAACTGTTCTCAGTGTTTGCACCTTATTCTTAGCATGTTGAAAAGAATCATTGTGTGGCCATTAAGTTATACACTAACGTCATCAATTTTAACTGAAACAAAGTCAGCGATATTTTTCTCTGAAATGAAAGAACGAAGAAAAACTACCATCTAAATATGCTGGTTTCGTCTGTCAGACCACAGACAGTCAACTATTTCTTGTGCTGCAACGAACGAAAGCATAGCAACTAACCTCTATCTGAGGTATAAAGGTGGGTTCATGCAAGACTTAACGTAACTTAACTTAAGAAAATGAGCATTTAAAGCGCATGCGCGGCTAGGATTGCCAATGTAGCAATGGCGACAATATCAACATTAAACACACTAACAAAATCATATGTTTAACGTCAAGGTAGCAGATGAAAGAGTGTTTTGTGGCTTTTGTGTTGCGTGGACTGGCGGACCAGCCTTGACATTGACAAGTGGTCCCTCCGCACTCGCTTGCGCCAATGTACTGGTAGTCAAGTCACAGAACTCGGATAATAGTCCAGGTAATATCGAAAGATCTGCTCGGAAAAATCTTCCGATTCCGATTTTTGTATAATCTGATTCAAGGACCTCTGTTAAAGAATCTGCATGTGACTAGGCCCAAAATTGGTCCAAAAATTGTTATTAAACCGATTCTAAAAATTGATTTGTTCGCTTTGTTTATAGTATTTTGCGGTTTTTAGGACACTCTGAATAAAAAATGAGCTTTAGAACTTTTCTCTAGACTTGATATATACAGGTATAAGCAAAGTAAAAACTCAAAATATGTCATTTGCTACCCTAAATACAATATGAAAAATGAATATTTTGATGTTGCCAAATCTCACACATGCTTCAACCAACCAATAACAAAACCCCCAGAGCATTTTAGGGAGTACAGTTATTGTAAATATTTGGATAGTAATTATGAATTGAATGCGCGCTCAATGTATAAGTCTATGTCTATGTGAACGCGAGAGAGAGATGAAATATCTCTCGTGCATTCTGAATATGCATTGAGCGTCAGCTTGCATATCAATTAAATACAAAGATTTTTAATAACAGTATCTCCTAAAAGGTATCGCAATTGTGTTAATGGTTATTTATGGAGCATGGCGACATTAACATTTTCGTCTTTTCAGATCGTTTTTCGGTATCGCAAAATCAATTTTTTTTACTTTCCCATCTCGTACAAAATCAGCTTTTAACAAACATTGTCAAACATCGTTTTGTTTCGGAGTATCAAAAAAAACGAATACTACCTTTGATGAAGCGAAAACATTAATTTTTGGAATTTATTTGAAAAAGTTGTACAAACAATTAGAGACGCAATTTGGAGCCTGACAACATGTAGATTTGTTACTAGGAGGCTTTTTCGAATAACATGCAAAAAGTACGAATCCGAATATTTTCCTGAGCAGATGTGAAGATATTTCTTAGACTATAACGACGGCAGCGCTACCTTTCTTGGCTGGAAATCTGGTGGAACTAAAAATATTGAAAGTATGCCGACAACGCATATCAGGAATGTCAGGAATGTGTCGGCGATTTCGTTTGTTTACATTACGAAATCTGACTGATGACCTTCCCGATACTGAGGTAGTTCGATGATCATAGATGCATAACACATCCTCAATAAAGGAAGTATTTCTTTCATCAGTTTGGCTAGTAATGAATTTCAGGATAATAAAAAATCTATAATTAAACAAATATTTATTGAACAGTCCCAGCAATAATAGAACAAATTCTTCATTACAATAAATTGTACATACATAGAAGTATTCTACTCATCTGGATTTTTCTCTATATTATGAACCTGATCAGTCCAATATCATGCAAGCACTATCTCTTGTTAATTGATCATGTATATTTATTGCGGAAACATAAATACTAAAATAACAAAAATACATCTGTAGTTAGAGAACTGACTGGAATACAAATATAATCACTCTGATATGTGAATTAAAAAAAGTTTTGCACACACTGTTAATGGGTAAAGGCAAACAAAATTGTCCTCAACAAACAAAAACACATAAAACACTAATTGTTTCTTCAAACTAGGAAACAAAATCCTTATGTCATTGACAATTAATTTGGTATCCATAAAATAAATGACAATCTTCACTCCAACTGTCTCCTCGGAGGATGTTGACACTGTGAAACAAAAACAAAAGTATTAGCATAATATCACTGTCATATTTGGTCAGCAAACACTAAACAGAAACATAGTCATCTCACCACGCCCCTTCAGATGATACTGCTCTGTACATATGTATAAATTCCCAATCTAGGTATACATTTGATTGCCAAAATTCTGTGTGTA